AAGATGGCATGTGCTTGCATAATGTTGTCGCCAGACGTGGCCAGCGTAGAGCCCTGTGTAATACACAGCCATGCTATATTAGGGAATATGCTCTGGCTTGAAGTTTCTTGGCTCAACTAGGTTGAAGCTGGTGCAGTGGCTCAGCATAAACATCTCAGTCTGGGAGCTCATTCAGTGTAATGGAAAGGTGACTGGCAAGTCTTGAAAGAAAGATATTTCTGTTCGTTAAAGACCTGAGTAGCAGTTTGCATTTTCACTTGCTTGTTACCAGTCTAGCCTACCTGTTTTTAAGGCCCCCTGGGTGCTGAGCTGTCTCTGAAATCAGTGCTGGGAATAGGGTGAGGACAGTATTAAATCTGAGCCAGAGCAGGAGGTTATTTTGCTTTCCATACTGGAATTATACAGATATGTGGTGGTGTGTGTATTTCTACCTAGCCAATTTATTGTTTGCTTTCAAAGAGCATATTCCCATTAATTGCTATTAAAATATTTTTTCATATATTTACAATTACTGTGCATTCCTCTGATTTTCCACCTTGATGAAAGCTGAAAGAAGACAAAATTTTAAACTCTCTCATGGGATGAGACATAAAGGGGAGTGGGATTTGCATACATGTGTTTTGTACCGGGAGGGATTAAATGTGGCTGTCCTTGAAGGAAGCACTTTTTAGCAAGACAATGAAAAACTCAACAAATTTTAGCAATAAACCACAGTCAACTGAAGATCAAAGGCATTATGTGAAGTGCAGAGATGAAAAGGAGAGAGAGACTGGTACTGCTTTTGAAATGAGTGTTTTTGTGGGGAGATGGTATTTGCAGGGCACATACTTTGCTATGATTCTGACTCAAGTAATGTGGCAATGCTGGTAAATGTTGTAGATAAGTTACTTTGCTTATCTGTCTTCTCTTAGCCTTTCTTAGCATGTCTTCAGGAAGACCACAGGGTTCATCAGACATCCCATGATCTAAAGGTTCAGTCACAGAGTCAAAAGAGATAGACACCCTGAGAAGACCCTTGTATGTGAGGCTGTGGAAAATCTGAGGTCCTGAGCAAGACTTATCTTCAGTAGTTTCTGAGAGGTATTTTTTTAAAAAAAAAAAAAAGCAAGGCCAAAGATCTTTGTAATATTCTTTCATAGGTCCCCCTTCTGCATCTGGTGGTGGAAAACTCCTGAGAGTTCACTTCAGATTCTTTCAGTATTATTTCAGTATGTGAGGCTGTGGAAAATCTGAGGTCCTGAGCAAGACTTATCTTCAGTAGTTTCTGAGAGGTATTTTAAAAAAAAAAAAAAAAAAGCAAGGCCAAAGATCTTTGTAATATTCTTTCATAGGTCCCTCTTCTGCATCTGGTGGTGGAAAACTCCTGAGAGTTCACTTCAGATTCTTTCAGTATTATTTCAGTTGTGTAAAGGTTGAAAAGATGCTGAGGGTCTTGTTTTGAGGTAGAAGCAACAAAATGATAATTTTTGTGGTGTACCCTTTCACAGTGTAAGAGTAGCCCATATGTCAGTAATTTGCATGTGTGTGTGGGTGTCAGGGGAATGGAACTGGTCAAATAGTTTCGGACATCTACTTCTATTTGCTAAAAATATATATATATATTTTTCTGCTTCTTTAAAATTTATTGCTGACTTCTGGTTGAATTAGGTGAAAAACGTACCTGGAAATAATTTGGAGACAAAACCTGAGGTATCAAAACATTTTCCATCATACTTTGAAAACCGAAATTTTTATATTGGAAATAAAACCAAAGAACTTTTTTTTTTTTTTTTTGAGGTTGAATGGAACATTACTTTTGATTTGAAACAGTTTTCTTAGGGACAGTTTTCCTCTTTTCAGAAAAATGAAACTTTTTTGGTCTGAAACCAAATTATTAAAAATGTGTAACAGGAAAAAAAGATGCAATCAAAGAATAAAAAAAAAAATTTCTTTGCACACCTGGGGAGGTCACACAGACATTTTCACATTTGGCTCTGAAGGCAGGCCCTGGAGTGGAGCTGGGTGGAGTGTTATATTTTGGCACAGGATGAACAACACTCATGAACAATTTTCATTTTAAAAAAAGAAGCATCAAAATGTGCATGCTCCCAAAAATGGTTTGTAGAAAATAGTTCAAATAATTGGTACCTTCATCTATAAGCAAAGCAATTTTTGAATCTTCTGAGAGGCAAGAACACTCTGAGAAACTCTGATTTTATACTCTTTTTGTGGAAATAGGAAACATTTTTAGAGAGATTGATGAAGTTATTGTCTGGTAGTTTTCAGAGGCTGAAAGATAAATAATTTTGGGGAAGACTGTGAACAGCACTGAATAGTTGACTTCACGTGGACCTTCTAGCTGATTACTCATTTTCTTGCACTGATATGGCTTTGCTAACTAAAGGTCGTACTGTTGACCTGACTTCCGTTTCCCAAGTACCTTCCTCATTTTTGAAAAAGGGATTTGGCTTGCAAGTCATCTGAATGCCGTGAAGTGGCTGGAGCTCAGTCCTTTGAGAGGAGACACTATACGCTAATAAACCCTAGACATCCTCCTAAGACGTCCATCCATCTGATCTTCATCGAACAACAGAAAAGCACACTGTAGATGGAGAAAGGTTGTTGCATCAGGGAACTCACGACTGCTGTGCAATCTCCCCTATGCTCCTGAGAAGGAAAGAGGGGAGGAAGAACCGAAATAGTTTTGGGTTGTTGTTATTATCCTCCTCAGCTTTCCTCATGAGGAAGAGAGCTTGGGCTTTTGGAGATGAGAGATGGTGCTGAGGAAGTGGTGGAGGTATTGGCTGGGACATTTGGAGAGGGGATGGGTCAAATGTGGGTGCACAGAGTCCGGAGCTGGGGGGAGGGAAGGAGTGTACCTTAGTCAGGAGAGGTGGAGAGAGGGATGTACCTGGCTGGGTAAGAAGTGATGAAGGTGCAAATAAATCAGATGTCAAAGCGTGTCTGCTTTGTGGAGGTAGAGTGGGAAAAAAACTTTGGGATTCTCAGTTCTAGCACATGAGGTGTCAGCCTAACAGTCAGCTCCTTATATTTTAAATCCCTGATGGTGACTGTACTCCACAGACTAAATGCTGCTGCCTGGTGCAGTCTTAGTTCCTGTGGACACCGTCATCTGCCCTCTGTGCACAGAAACCCAGCACGCTGCTTCGAACTTGCTCTCTGTAGTGTACCATTCCTCCTTTGATCCTCGTCGCCCAGCCGGGGGGAACCACATCAGTCCTGCAACTCATGGGCCCTCTAGAAAAGGAACTGAGGCAGGATTTAGCTGCACACGTAGGCTGGGATGAAAATGCTTCTCGGGAGAAAATGGCAGATTTGCTGTTCTGTGTTAAAGGGGTACATGGTGGTAAGAGTAAACAAACACAAGATTTGAAAAAAAGTCTTGTTACAACTTGCTTTTTATATATAGTCTAATTGTGCATTAAAAAAAAAAAGGCAGCAAAATTGCAAAGTCACTATTAGATTTGCAAAATGAACTTTCCTTTTGAACCTCCACAAAACAACCCCAGCCACCCAAACATGAGGAAAGTCACAACAACAAAATTTTAAATCCCCCAATCCAGGAGCAAATCAGAAAGAAAAACACCCCCAGGAAAAGTAAACTAATAAAATAACCTTCACAAAACCCTTGCCCTCAGCAGTGTTTTAATCCAAAAAAGGGGGCAGAAAAAGCCACGGATTCCCTTAAGTCATGAGAGGCTTTGCTATTGCCAGTGATTTTATGGGGAGGGCGCTTGGACGCTGCACCGGCGGGCAGGAATATAAAGCTGCAAGACAGATCTACATCTGTGAACAGAGCACTTCAAATAATTTACAAATGCACCTTGGCTTTGTTTCCCTTAAACTGCAAGCAGTTCATAAGCCACCTTTGAAAATTTTAGTCTGCATCTGCACGCTGGCTTTCTCTGAGGCGTAAATGGCCAGTCTTGTACTAACGGGCTGGAAAATGTTTTTTGGGGGGGACGTGGGGGGTGTGTGTGTGGAAATCCTCTGAGTGCAGCGCCTAGGCTAGAATTGCAGAGGAAGCTGAGGCCTCCAGCCCTGCACAGGAAGCAATCTTAGAGCAGGCCTTAAATGCCAGATTCCAGGCAGAGTTTAACTAACCACTGACAGCTCTGTAAACAAAGCAGGGACAAAAAGAGAACAGCTTTCCCTTTTCTGGTAGTCATTTTTGGTTTGGGGGCTGCAGGGGAATTCTGTAATACTCGGCTTGATGGGATATAAACCAAGGCTGGAAAGGCTTTGTATATGAAGAACTGTAAAGGGGAAAATATTTCATGGACTAAACCATAAAGAAGAAGGTAGGGCACGGGGAAAACGCGTGGATTAAACTACAAAAAAAATATTGCTACTTTTGGTTCTTTGAGCAGGATTTATACACAGTTTGGCTCCTCCTGGGTGGTATTTAAAAGCTGCGGCTTATTTTCCTTCTTTTCTCTTTTCCTTCTCTCCTCTTTTCTCTTTTCTTTTTCTCTTATTTTTCTTTCTTTCTTTTCTCATTTTCTCTTCTCTTCTTTTCCTTTTCACTTTTTTGGAAGGGGGGTGGGAACGGACAGACGAGGGCTAACTTTTGCAGAACTTTTAATTATCTGTGCAACTAAAGAAAATAAGAAATCTCTTGTGCAGCGTTTTTACTGCTTCCAGTAAAAATTGGAAGCTTAAAGTTAAAATCCTGCTGAATTGTTGCTTTTGTTTGTAGAAAAGACCTGTGACGTTACAAATAGCTAGTCTGCGGCTAGCAGATGTATACAGTCCTTACTTACAGCATGTTGATTTAATTTTAGCTAGGAAACTAAATGCAGGCATGGGCTATGTTTATCCTACAAGGCATTTCATTAATCTTGTTTATCTCAACAATACTGAGGAAGTTAAATTTTTTGATGGAAAAAGAAAATAGTTACAGCGAAGTTAAGAAAGCAAAACAAAACTAAATGGACTCAGTTGGTTAAATGCATCCCATTGTGTTTTCTCTCTCATCTAAGTGGTTATCTCCCTTTTAGATTTGGATCTTTCCAGAGCTCTGAACACTTGAACACCCACCATGGATGACTTTGAACGCCGCAGAGAACTCAGGAGGCAAAAGCGTGAGGAAATGCGCCTTGAAGCAGAGAGGTGAGGTATTATGTATGGAAAATGGTGCCAGTGGCTTGCCTTTGATTAGCAGTGGCTTTGAGGATTTCTGTCTTAAATTCCAAAGTGTGCTATAGCTAACCAAAGAGTCCTAGCTAACGGTATGTGCCGTAAAATAGCTTTAGTTAATATTGTGGGAGAGGCTGGAAGTCAGGGGTGTCTAGTGTCTAATTCCCTTAGGCTGTTGTAAATGTCCTGGCTTCTAGTTATTTTGTTATATGGATAAATGTAAACAGTGAAGGTGGACTATGGCCATGTGAAATTACTGATAGGAAAACTCATGCTCAGATGGCATGTGGGTGAGTGCTGTGCAGAAGGGATTTTGTTTGTCTTTTCAGACATAGGGCTAAAATCATAAGATAGCAATTGAAAGCTGAGATACACTTGGTATATGTAGTATAGCATATCTGTGAATTGTCTGCCATTACTGTGCAATTGCTGTTGTATTTGTACTGCCTGTCACTTTTTATTCATTTACAGCCACTTTATGTGGGCAACAAGGGCAGCATTTGCTATCAGTTATTACAGATTTACTTTGATGCAGATGAGAACAGAACTTGATGTGGGTACGATGATGTCAATTTATGAGAGAAGCAGCATGAAAATACTGGGAGTGGCATTTCATTAACTAACCCCATTTTACACCTGTACAGTTCCATTTGTTTTAATAGAATTTCCCATGATTTACACTGGAGTAAGCAGGAAGAAAGACAGGCTCTATTTATTTTTGTAATGTCTTCTCTGATATAAAGATTTGATTTAGTTTATTAACTAAATCAGTGATTTTAAAAAAAAATGGAACTTAGGTTTAAGCACATTTTATTCTCATTTTTGTATTTAATTTTGAATATGGACTTCATTTTCATTTCTGGTCTTTCCCATGCGCTGACAAAACCATGGTGTTTTGGGTTCTGAATGCTGTAGGAGAGAATACATTTTCAGAGCAGTTTTAAATGGAAGTCAGCAGAATGCAATACCAAATATATTTTGTATGTCTGCTTTGAGCTTTTCTAATAAGGCCCTGCTACATAAGCAGGGCTCTCTGATAGAAGTTGATGATACCTGGGGGGGGGAAATCCCAGGTAGACAAGATGCAATAGCCGCCTTTCTTTCCAAAGGAAGCGTTGCCATGCAGAACTGGGCATGTGAGCTCTCATCAGGCTATAAGCTGAACCCGTGAGCTCTGGAAAGCAGCAGTGCTGTCTGCAGATAAACTAACTCATGTGGTGGCCAAAGGAAAATGAGGCGGCAGCCTCCCTTTGGAAAATGCAGCCGTCACCTGGTTGGGGACCTCCCCAAAAGGCAGAGGAGCAAATGTGCCGTGGCACTAAACTGCCTTCTCGTTCCAGAAGGTTTCCCCCCAGGCCTGGACCAATATGTTTTTGTTGGGCAGCGTGGGAGGGATTGCAGAGCCCGTGCTAGTGTATGGTATAGCACATGGTATTTATATACTTCTAGTGTATTCCTGCTTTAAGAAAAAGAAAATTTTAAGTAAAGGCCGAGACTTTAGGGTTTGTTGCTAGTAGAGGCCCTGGGTGGCCTGTGGAGGATGCTGGGGGGTGTAGTTCAGGAGGTGTTTTCTACTATGGAAAAATGTCACTTGAACTTCCCTGTAAAGGCATCCAAGCTCACCACACAAGGGTGTGCAGAGGCTGTGGGGTGGTCTGAGCATCAGCGATGTGGCGCAGCCGTCTTGCGGAGGCAGTGACAGCCGCAGGGGGTTGGGGATAAGGGGCTCTGCCCTCACCACCATGGAAGCTGAAATCCAGGACTTCAGGTGTATCTGAAGTCACTGTGCGGCCTGCAATTTTACACATGGGCCCAACTCCGGTCCCTGATCACGCATGGGGAAACCGGAGCCCTGGGGAGGCAAAAGCTGCAGCGAGCAGCTCACCGGTGTCCCTCAAAGGAGCCCTCCCTGGGAAGCCCTGCAGTCCGACGGTGATACCTGCCCCTGCCCCTGCATGATGGGGAAGCCAAGCGGTTGGGCCAGAGGGCGACAGCCGCTGACACAGGAAACAGCCTCCTCCCCACCCACCCACGCCTGCTTTTGGGAAGTGTTTTTGCCACGTCTGGGGTGGCTTTGCTGGGATTTTGTGTGGTAAGTTTTGTGGAGGAGGTGAGCTTGGTGGCAGTCCGGCCAGAGGAGAAGGACTTGGGCCCATGTCCCTATTTTCTGCCGAATAGCCGCAGAAGCGCTCCATGCCCTTTTCCACACATTTGAAGGCTTTTAGCAATAAATCGCTGTACGCTAAATCTTGCTGCACTCCCTCCGCTGCTGCCAACTTCAAGCATCCAAGTATCATGAGTCAGACCCCTTAAAAGTCACAAGACTGCTTTAAAAATCTTGAGATCTTAAAAATAATTTAGTCTGGCCTTTTTATTTTTGGTTTGCCTTAACAATAACAGAGCCTGATTCTCAAGTTCAGATGTGAATCTGGGAGCTGGGACCTCCCGAAACCTGCCCCAGCAGGAGCAACGCCATGGAGGAGCTGAGCATCCGCCCCCATTGCATTGCACTGCTCACGTCGAGCTAAGGGCAGCAGCATTTGGGCAGTTATTAACAAACAAATATTGTCATGCTGGCTTGGTTTTGGTGAATTCAGGGAATTTTTAGGGATTTGGGGATCATCTTCACCTTTAAAAATATGACTATAACATGTTTGTGTACACATCTTAAGCCACAGCAATCTGCTTGCCAGACCTCACTCTGTCTGAACGCTTTCAGGTGTTTTATCAAGTGAACTGTGCGGTCCTAAAGAGCGGCATGGAGGCTGAAAATGCTCCATCAGCTCTTGAGCAGTGGTACCTGCTGCTTGGGCACAGGGCATTTCCCTGCACCCTCTCATCAGTGGGCTGTTGCCTTGCTATGGGGAAACCACTGCTGGCTGTAAACATTTCCACTGGGAGGTGGACAGACGGATGATTATGTGTAAGCTGTAACATGTTTGCTAGGTCTCCCAGACGCTGTTTAGGCTTCTTTGAGTTGAACAGTAAACCTAGAAGTGCAAGCAGCCGTATCAAACAGCAGCGTTTGTAACTCAGCCAGCCGCAGTGACGCATTTTGCCATTTCCTGGGATAAAGGCAGATGGAAAGCCTGTCTTCCCAGCCCAATGCCTGTGCCCAAGAGAGAGCGAGGGGTGAAGATGCCTTGTAGCAGTATGGACTCATGCACCACATGCCTGAGAGGGAGTGACTTGATGTTATTGCGTCTTCCCCAGGGGCCAGAGACCGTGTGAGGACTGGCCAGGATACATGTGCCGTCAGTTTCGCAAGTGTCTGTCATGCTGGAGCCACTGATGTCTAGCCACTTATGTCTAATCTTTGGAGATGCTTAGTGCAAGTTCAATCCTTGAGCGCTGATGTTAGGCTTTCTGTTTTGTTTTTTTCCCATTAGAAAGCTGTTGGAAATGATGCTTTATTGTGCTGTGTAGCCCTGGCATTCTGGGTTGATAATGCTTAGGATTGATCCTGAGGAGAGGTTGGCTTTGTCTTTTAAAGACAACAGTGCGGTTCACTGCTGGCATGTGCTTTGGCTAGTAGTAGTTCATGCTGTGGCAACTCAGATAAAGATTGCCACCAACTCAGAAAGCTAGTGGGTTTTTGGCATTTTAAGCTCTTATCATTTCAAGGTGTCCCACGTCCTGGATTCCCCACACAGGCTTGCTGCGCCAACCCAGAAATTTTGTCCAGCCAGAATTTTTTGATTATTTGTATTTGTCTGAGATCTCTGGAGACCTATCAGCATGTTTGGAGTAGCAGTGCAGACCTGCCTAGGGGGCATGTGGCCAACAGCAGGCATATGGGGCTTTGTCCAGCTTTCTCCCAGGCTGTCAAATTTATTGCATGTACTCAGGCTGGCAGGGACCCGGCAGCTCTTGTACCTCATGGGGGAACAAGGCTTTCCAGGCATAGGCTGGGAAACCCAGGACAAAGTATGGCAGCGTTAACTGTGCCCGTCTGTTAGCGTTTTGCATGTTGTTTGTACTGATCAGGTGTGAGGTCAGGGAAAATAGGACCCTACCAGCCATTTGGGTAATGGGATGTGCTACATCTCTAACTGCTCTGCGGCAAAGCCAAGGCTTTATCCTGCTCCTCAGAGGCAGAGGAAGAGGAAGTCCTGCGCCTGGGACAGTGGTTGTATAAAGCCCTGAGGTCCTGGTCCAGAGCTGGCTGAAGTCAGTGGGAAGCTTTCCACTGATTTCAATGGGCTTTGGATTAAGCCCTACCTGAGTTATTCCAGCCGGATGATTTATGAGACAGTCTCAGTGGCAGCCTTGAAGGAGCTGGATGAACGCTTTGCCTTCCCAGCCACAGGGTACATACCGTGCTGGAGTATCAGGCTGTCACAGAAATGGGTTGCACTTAACTGACGGGAAAAATCCCGTATGTAATTGAAGCACAGGGGATTGACTTCTTTCAACAAGGGAAAAAACAAATGCCACCTGCTGCTTTGTGCCTCTTCCTAGGCAGTAAAAGATGTTCTCTTGAACAAAACCATCAGGTTTTGTCATTTTGATGTTGTAACTGACACTGGAAGAATTTAGCCTGGGGCTGGGGTAGAGCGTGTGTATGAGAGTCTGGAGGGGTGGTGCTTTGTGAATATCTTGCTGATGCACTTTGGTCTGTCACAGCTGCATGCAGCTGCAGTGAAAAATCGAGGTGAAATACTTCTTGAAGTGACAGCAGACCTAATTCCTTGACTTCAGCAGAATTGAGAACAAAAATTGGCCCCTTGAACTCTCTAAAGAATAGCTCTCAGGTTAATCTACTTAGCACTTAAGCCACAATTTTATGACTGGCTGACTTGCCATTGTCCCAGCAATGTATTTTCACCTCTCCCTGGTGTTGGGGCTCTTTCAAAAATTATACTAGGAAGCTGATCCAATTTGCTTCATTGCCATATCATCATTACTGCAGACCTCAGGAAGGTCTTAGGGTCATTGTCAGACCGGTCTCCATTTAGCTGAAGCTTAACCTT